GAAATATTTCACTTTTCAAATGACATCGAGCAAAAACTCGTTAAGCAATGCATCACATCATTGGCGTATACATTGATGTATCTCTGGTACAAAGGCAGGTAACAACCAGGAGAGTTTGGTACTTTTGCGTTCCAGAGCAGACATGTAGCAGATAAGTCATCCCATTATATGCTTTGGAAGTGCACACCTTAATCAAATTAACCTAACCATGGTAGGTATGTGCGGAGCTTGACCCTGTCTGAAGGGTATAAGAAGTCAGGAGCAGCTTGACTGCTCCAGAAGCACCTTACCGGGGTGCGGGTCCATCCTCCTCCAGCTCATCTCAGTACCTGCGCTTAACTTTAAACGCGTGCTCCCATCCTCTTTAATTCACGGCAGTTCGAAGTTAAGGAGGAGCTTAAGTAATGTCCCCAAAAAAGACGGTTTTTGGCACAGGCTAGTATTTTCCTGAACTGTCATCTAAGGGGGAAAACATGCCAGATCAGGATGCAGGGAGAGGTCTCTGCACAGAGCAATCCCCACCCCATGCAAAAGAGCTGAGAGAGGGGGAAGGGATGGGAGGCCAACAAAAAACAGATCCCAAAGGGTTGGACCCTTCTTGGCACTGTCCCTGGGTCCTTGCTTGAACAGAAAAGGGAATTATGAGTGTTCCACAAACACATCCCCAGTTCTTCCCCCCACACAGCATCCCTCCCCGTTCCCTCCTGCCACCCAGTGCCCCTCTCACATCTATTTTGGGATGGGTCAGGGACCCGTGAGCTCCTGTGCATGGCAGACATCTGCAGGCAATACCCAGCCAGCACCCCTTCGCAAGGGACAACCGCTCGCCTTCATCTCCCGTCCCGGATATCACACGTCCTTCTCCGCACCTCCCTCAGACGTGGCAACTCCCCACTGGCACCCGCCCACACCTCTCCCCAGCACCCTCCCTCCAGAGCAGGGCCAACAACCCCTCCACGCCCAATCAGATGTCAACCTTATCTCTTTTTTTTGCAGGGCTGATGTCTCTGAGGCACTTCGAGTTACAAAATGGCTTTTCAGAAAAGCAGGTGTAATGGGGGGAAAACCTAAACATAACACCATAACTGCATGAGGGATTGCCTAAAATCCACATTCCTCCAGCGAAACACGCTGCCCACCATTCCCTCCTTGGCTTGCTGGCACATGGAGATATTTAAAGTCCCATCATGCATATGCAATAGCTCAGGCTTTTTCACCACCACCACAACCATCATCATCATCATCACTATTATTATTATTACTATTGTTATTATTGTTATCAGTGGCAGTATACCTGTATATAAACAGGAGGAACTGTCAGATGGAAGAGGAGCATGACAAATGTGCACTGTGAAATGCAATAAGATGCTTCATCATTTTTGCCTGAGTCTGTGAGGAGACGGATGAAGCTCCTTTCTGGACACTGTCTGCTCCGATGCCAGAGTTGCAAAGCACCTGGGCCTGCAATCCTACAAATTCCAGCTCCCAATAACCCCTCACCCTGGTTTTTCTCTGTCCCTACCACCTTTGCAGGGTGCAGACTCCCTGCTGCCCACCGACCATGACTTCAGAGTCCACCTTTCCACCCAGTCCTTCAAAAGCAAGGCTGCCACGCACACCTACCCTCTTCTTCTTGATTTCCCAGAAGCTTAAGCAGTTTTTCCTCTCCCCAATAGCTCCCTCGCCCTTGCAGAGAGTAATCCACCTTTTTGGCAGGACCCTCCTGCCAGGAAAGCAGTGTCGTGTCCCACCCTCTCCTCCCAGTTCCCACTATGGGGCTGACTCCCTAATCATTTTTGCCAGGCGATGAGAGTCCCAAACAAGGGAC